TTTTTTTTTTTTTTTTTTGTTATAATTTATACAAATTGTTGACCTTAACAGAAATATATAATTTATAAAACTGAAAACAGACTACTAAAAACAGTGATATATGTGAAAGTTTTGTGGTTGACAACAGATGTAACTTTTGAATCATTAATCACAAAAAAAAGAAGGGAAATAAATGAATAAATTAGTTGCGTTAAAAACTTAGACAAAAAAAAAAAAAAAAAAAAAAGCACAAGATCAGTTATATTAGAAAAATTTTATTGGAAATTTTTCCTGTCATTTCTTTCTAGTTAAAATAAATTATCAATAGTCAAAAAAAAACAAATTTCTTTATGCTTTTCAATTTAAATATCATTTTTTTTTTTCAACATTTATGTTTTTTAAAATAAGTTTTTAATTTACTTTTTCATCTCTGAAAAAATTTTCCAATACTGTTTTTTAAGTTGTTTATTGAAAGTTTTTTTTTTTTGTGACGTAAACTGATGATAAAAGAGTGATTTGACTGGAAAAAGAAAAGAAAAAAAAATTGAGTTTCTGTATTTTATAATTATCGGTTTTGCTACCTTAGTTCAAAAAAAAATCTCGGTTTTTTTTTTTTTTTCTGATAACAGATGTGAATGACAAAGTAAGTTTTATGTATGCAGTTAAATTTTGCTCTCAACAATTTTGTTCTACAAAATTGCTCTGTTTAGGAGTAATTTTGCTAAGTGATAATTTTGCTTTACGAATTCACTGTAAGGCGCCATAGTTGTATTTTTTTGGAACTACAGAACAGTTGAAAAGTTTTGACAGCAGTTTTTTAATGAAACGTCAGATACTGATAGAATAGAATTCTGTAGCCTAAATAAAAGCAACAATGTTTGATCAAAATAAAAAAATTTTAGCACTTCTGTGTTTTGTTGATTTTTGCAGATTCTGTGACGGCTACAAAGTTTTTTTTTCTATATTTTAAACTATTGTCACAGTTAGAAGAAAAAAAAAAGAACTTAGTAGCACCTTTTTCTTTTTTTTTTTTTTGTGTGTAAAACAGCTGATTAGCAAAGATCAAAAAATAGATAAACATAGAATCATTAAAGATCAAAAAAATTTTTTGTCTGATTAATTGTTGTCATAGTGTCACACTATAATTGCGATCAAAAAACCAATATAATTAGACGATACTAAATGAAGGAATGTGTTTTTTCAAAAAAAAAAAAAAAAAATTTAGTAAAGAAAATTTGCTAAAAATGAGATTTGTATCATTGATTTGATGATGTTTAATTTGATTTTTTGTGCAATAATAGATGTAAATTATAGACTACGATACTAAACATTCAGAAAGTTTGATAGCAAGTAAGTTGAAAAATTTTTACATTATCTGTTATCATAATTTTTGTATGCTTTTTCTTTTGTCGGCAAACGCAGATCATTGATCCTCAATGATTTTCGTAAAATTTTTCCACTTTTAGTATCAATAATTTTTCTAGTTTGATATTATTGAAACATGGCTGAATAGTGAGCAAATTTGGTTTAGATAAAATACTGTTGAAAAGAAACTGTTTTTTTGATTTTTTTATCACAATAACCAATGTTTTGACATCAGTTTTTTGTTGATTCTGCAAAAAAAATTCACTGCAAATCTTTTGAAGTGTTGATGTATGAAGAAACCTATTTGGTACTTTAAGTTTTTTCCTGTAATACCAATTGAGGTTATCAACGCTACCAAACGACTCTTTTCTTCTACTTTTAATAGATTATAACAGTGATTTTGTTCAAACACAGTTTCTTTTTTTTTTTCTCAAACTAAGACTTTTTTTTTTTGGTGCAAATTTTTTGTATTTATTTCTCAGTGTACATATATTGTGAAGAAAAAAAATTTGTCAAGAATATGTTGATTGAAAAAAATTTTTGTACCATCATTTATATGTCTTTTTCCTTTTTGGTACAGTAAAAAAAAACTGATTTTGATTGATATTGACAGTGTTTGAAATTTGACAATAAATTATAGAACAGATTTTGGATGCTCAATCTTAATATTTTTTTTTTTATTTTGACTTTATGAAACTTTGTAAACAGCTATGAACAAAGAAATTAAGTATATCTTCAAGAATTCTTTAAGAATTCATTCTTCAAGAAAAATTTTTTTTGCAGATACATATTACAGAAAAATGGTTTGAAAAGAAAAAAAATTTTTTTTTTTTGTTCTAAATTTATTTGCTTTTTTTTTAAGTTGATTTAAACGAGTTCATTGGTCGAAAACGAAAGTTTATTCTGCAAACTGTTGTCACCAATTTATCTACAACATTTTACAAAATCAAAAAAAAAAAAATTTTTTTCAGTAAAAGTAGAAAAAAAAAATTAGAAAACCAAAACTAAAGTACATCATAAATGCAGAAAATTTTTTTTCTTTTTGTAATTCGTATCAGATAAAAAGATGATCTCGTCTTTTGCCATCGCTGATTTCTGCAATTATTCTGGCGGAATAAGTTTACAGGTCGGCTCCAATTGTCTGCAATTTAGAAAAGTCAGTATAAAAAAAGGTAAAGAATCAAGTGAACATTAGTTTAAACTAAAGAAACAGTCTTTGCATACTCAAAATACATCCTTAAACCCGTAAACTGAATTCAGTTAATTCTAACCATTATTAAACTTTTTAATGTAATAAAAGACTGGCAAAATTATTGCTATATTATTTCTACATTTATTTGTCGATATAAGCTACAATTTTATCAATAAATTCTGCCAAATCTGTTGCTTCTATTAAATTACCAGATACGTTGGCTTAACTGGTGAAAAAAGACACTGAGCTTAGAAACCACCACTATGTCATCGAGCGCTTTTAAGGTTTATAAGACTAAACTAGTCTTATTAAGTTTACATCTGTTTCACTTTTTGTTGTTAAAAAAGATCTTAATATAAAAAAGCTGTTTTCTCTTTCTTTTTCTTTTTTATGACTTTTTTTTTTTGTATTTATTAGAATGTCTTACTTTAAACCAGCATCGACGGCACAATCGCATAATCTTCGGATCGTTGTAGCAGTTAGAAATCCTGATTTAATAGAGCACTGTTTGCCTTGTTGAACAAGTGTATCATCATCTGGTAAGTCATAGGAACAACTAAAAATGTATTCTAAACATCAGAATTGTTTTGGATTTTTTTGTTAATCCATTTTAAATTGTTTTATAATATAGCATTTGATGTAAATTACCGTTTAGAAAATGTAAAAAAAGAAAGTAAAACATAAAAAATTTCTTACACTCTTCCTTCAAAACAGCCCTCGGTATTCTTGGCAACGCATTTACGAACACATTTGCTATACTTTCGAGCTAACCCAATTGCTGGCAAAAGATTCGTGTCCACTTCTGCAAATTTAAGTATAAGGAAATTTTCACGTTAAAAAAAAAAGACTTACTTTTTATAAAATTCAATTTTTTTTTATAAAAAATTTTGATTTTTTCAAATTTAAAAAAGTGTTACAGTTATTACAATTACAACAGCTTAAGAAATTTTTAAATTTTTAAAACAAGTAGACAATTTGATTCTAAAACTTGTGCTCTATTTGACTATTAAGCAATATTTTGTTATCACATTGTACAGTTTCGAGCAACTCACTTGCTTCATCTACCATCTTCTTGAATTCTTTAACCAACGCTAATTCGATACCTAACTTGTATCTTTCCGGAATCATTTTTGGTGTTCCATGAGCACATCTAAAATATCCAAAGCAGATGCGATAAAGTAAGTAAAATTTTACCATATATCTTTTGAATTATAATAACATACGCATCTGGGTTAGCTTTTTCCATGCAGTCAAATGTAGCTTCAAGTTCTGCATGTTTTTCTACTGCACATTGTCTTACTGCCTTGAAATCAACGCCAAGCGATACAACATGATGCTAAAAATTAATGCAATCTTCAGAAGCATTTTTCAGTGTACATAAGAAGGTGTAAAACAATGCTTCCGCATTTTTAGAAGGCATACTTTAAACTGTATAGTTCAATTACCTGACATTTTTCTGCACATCTTGGTGTAGCATGAATGACTTTTTCTTTACAAGATTCAAATTCTGTACAGGTACACTGTCTAATCATTCTTCGTTGACAATTACAAAAGGTAAATAAAGATCCTAAAATAATGAAGGCGATCTTCCACGGCAACATCGTTTGGCTTCTTTCCTTTGCTTTCGTTTTCAATCACAAAGATTTAGTTATGCTAAAATTCAACTGTTTGACGTCTTTTGTTGTTATTAACAAATTGTACCGTTTGGTATCTATCGAAAACAAGCAACCTATAGACGTATTAATAGACGTTTTAAACGATAAAATTAGCAAGTTTATATTAGCCTAATTCATTCTCAGATCAGCAAAGCAAGCCAACGAATAGACAGCCAAAAAAAAAAACAGCGGTTATCAGAATAAGTAATTTAACAAATGAGACATTTAGCATTCTTTAGCAGCAAATATCTTGCCAATGGTAGCAACAGCAACGGCAATGCTTACCCAATTGAAAACAACAGTCAATTTGAGAATTTTTATTGTATATTTACGTACAAATTATATTATACATGAAATAAACATTGGTTTAAGCAGGTATCTCACCTATTAAATAGCAGAATAAAACCTGTTTTTGCTAGTGGTTCTGCATTTTAATTAATGTAAACAAAAAAAATTTTGCTTGATGCAATAATTTTTTTTACAAATTTTATTAAGCAAAGTAGCAGCATCATTATCATCAACATTAAAGTTATTACACATTTTTAGACAGGATTTGTGACGAAAAACATAGTTTTACTTGGAAAAAAGTTGGAAAGAATAGTATAATTGTATTAAAAAAAGCATATTTTTGTTCAACAATAACGATTTGAAGCCGTTATTAATCATGCTAATTTTGTTTGTTGTTGTCAAAATTTACTTTTTACACAATTTTAGCACAGGTTCCGCTTAACAAAACACCTTAGATTTGTTTGTGTGTTTCAGTGACAATTTGTAGACCAGTGTTTCGCTATATTAACAACCTGTTGCAATAGCGAAAAGTGCACTATTGTTATCTGTAGGAAACACTGTTCGGTTCAGGGACACCAATGACATCATTGTTATTATTATTATTATTATTATTATTATTATTATCATTATTATTATTATTACTATAATTATTATTTGAAAGAGGTAAAGAAAAAGAGAAACGAAAAGATAAAGTAGTCATAAACTGTTTCAGTATTAACAGTTTTATTATCTAAAACAATTCTTGTAGATCAATAGTGGTACAAATGTTCAATTTACATGCATTGTACCATGCGTAACAGTCGAGTAAGTAATTCAACCGTAATAGCTTTTTCAACATTTCTCTATGGCTTATAATTGCTATTCTCTGCTAAACAGTTATATTCTTTGTAGTCAACAAATAAAAGTAAAATTTTTATTAAATTATTCTGATATAGACAAAAAGAAGTGATATCTGTACATATTAATAATCATTTCTTCTTCTTTGTTTGTAAAAGTCAACAACTATAAGGTGTTGGAGTCGGCTGATTATATGCTGATAAACCGTATTGCAGCGCACGAGGTCTCCAATTTTCTGGAAAGAAAAA